TTTTCATATATAAACATTTTTTAAAATTCAAATAAAAATATATAGATTTATACTTGTAAATTTTATTAGAATTTATTTATGCCAAATCTATTTAATAGAACTTGGACAATTGAATTTAATTTATCGAAAACTTAATGAAAGCTCAGTTAGGATATTAAATAAATCATATTAYATCTAATTAACTGTACATGATTATCCTACTTTCAAGCAATGTAATAGAGCGACCAGCATAATATCAGAGTTTAGTTTTTTTTTTCTCTTTTCGTTGACTTAAGCTAACAGTTTTAACAGTTTTTTAATGGCTAGCGTGTGACAGGCCCTAAAGTTGATGTTGACACCACAAGAGGCAATAGGCAAGAGGCAAGAGGCAAGAGGCAAGTGGCAAGTGGCAGAGTCGAGGCATGTCAACTGACTGGACTACAGCAGTTAATATTTTGATGGGAATGTGGCGACTGGAATTGGAGGAGGAGCAGGAGGCGGCATGGGGCGAGTCCCACTCAACTCTGAGTGATGATGATTTTTGTGTTGGCGTTTGCAGCCTGTCATCATCAGAGAGCAGCTACAAGCACTGTCCGATCCCCTCCCTAGTCCCGTCTCTGTGCCCCACTGGCACTTAATACCGCTGTGGTTGGCGCTTTGGGCGACAATAATGAAGCCGTTTCAAGTTGTCTGCTGGCTGTCGCGGTCGTCGCCCCCACATTGATGATGATCAAATTGGCCGGGCCTCTGCATATTCTAATGGAGTGTAAAAAAAATAGCGAAATAAATAGCGAGTGTCATTTAGTTGCGAGTGGGCGCTAATTAAAGAGAGAGGAAGAGAGAGAGAGAGGAAGAGAGAGAGAGAGAGAGGAAGAGAGAGAAAGAGCGAGAGCGGAAGAGAGAGGGTGAGAGTGGGAGAGAGAGTACTAGGAATATTTGCCCACTCATCGCAATGTTATAAAAACCAGACAGATAGCTAAATATAATAGCAAAAAATTGCATTAATTTAACATAATTTAATAAATGCACAAATAAGCGGCAAAAAATATATAAACTGGTGAGGAAAGTCGAGTATGATACGGCTTTTACTATTGTAATTACTCTACATAATTATTGTTATTTTATACTCATTCATAATGGGATAAAAAAAAAAAAAAAAAAACATAAATTGTTTTTCCATTTTCTATATGTTCAGTTGGCCATATGACAACAAAATATTTTGTCGCTTATAAAGAATCGAGTGTAGAATTATAAATCGACAAATGCCATACTTTATATAGCAGAAATACTATTAATTATAATGTATGACTCTTGACATTTGGAAAATATACTCAGCTGGGCAAACTAAGATTTAAAATAATGTATATTGGATATATCGTATATACATAGGGTGCCTACTAAATGTAGTAAAAATGATTTTGCCATCTATAAAAAATATGCAAAAGGGATCGCCCATATATCAGCCAATTATTTGTATTGTCTCTAGAAACATGTTTTGAATTTTAATGGCAATTTAAATTCAATTAATCGAGCTCAATGAGAATAGAAGACCCGAAAATAATACTGAAAACATTCAAATGAAATCTTATCCAATTCATCAAGCTCTCATAAAGTATTATTTATTGTTTCAATAATATAAATATATAAACGATGTTTGCATATGTATCATATACAGTCAAGTCCCTATAATTCGAAATAACAAGGCGAAAAGTTTTTTTTTTTCGATTTACGAATGATCTCTTTTCAAGGGTATAGAATAGTTTTTCGATTTATCGCGATTTTCGATTTAACGCAGTACGAATTATCGAGACTCGACCGTATATTCATCTGCATCTTCCCGGTCAGCCCACATAGTTCTGTGTCAGATTGAGCTGATCCTCCTGGACGCCGCTGCTGCGCGCCTGGTTGATGTTGTGCAGCATATTGCGAACGGCGCCCGGCGTGCGCTCCAGCGAGGCCGTCCATGGGTTCTGGGCCTGCGGCTGGGCATTGTTGTTGGGCGTGGACGTGGGCGTTGGGCTGCCAGCGCTGCTCTCCATAATCGTGGGCATGTTGTGGGCCAGCGGCGCCTGTGCCTCGCTGCGCTCCTGCAGCTGGGTGAAGTTGCCGCCAGCGTAGTCTCGGCTGTCGCCGCGCTTGAAGCTGTGCACCGACCGCGACAGAGGCCGCCAGCGGTTGAGCTTCTTGGAAGGCGAGCGCTGAGCGGGCGGCGTGCGGCTGCCCGCCTCCAAGTTTCCACTGGAGCTGGCGTCGCGCCCAGCGCCCGCCGCATGCTGCTGCAGTAGATTGGTCACCAGCTTGTCCAGCACCTTCAGATCCACCTTCAGCTGCGAGTTCCGTATGGAGTTCATGCGACTGCCAGCCAAGCTGCTTGGGTTCGTGTGCAGCGAATCGTCCACATGCCGCTTATTTAGACCGGCTATCTTGGCCAAGCGTTCAGTTAGCTGGAAATGATTCGAGTTAGATGTGAGGATATGATATTAAATAAATT